GTACAAAGATGCTCTAGGACAATGTACAAACCTAATTAGTTTGGGGTAAAAATCTGTTCATATTAATTCCCTAATAAGCATAATAATTCATAATTTTTTGGTTCTAATCACATTTCAATTAAACTTGGAGACATAGATTTTCTGTTACATTGCGCAGACCTCGTTAGTTTTACACTCAAATCTGGTCATATTAATTTTCTGATTTGCATAATTAGTTTTCAGCTAAGTAATTTCGAATTATATTTAATGTGTCTCCAATACTCTCAGCACATGGGAGTTCTTTCTAAGCTTTCTTTGATTGATTGAAGAGATCAAGTTATCAAGAACATTCGCTCTCGATAAAACTAAAATCTAGGAAATATTACTTCGATATGTTGGCTTACCGATATCATGCAGATGGGTACCACATTTATTAAATACATAGGTGCTTAACTTTGAATTTTTGGAAAGGCAATTAGTTGAAACTGTTTTAAACTGCTTTCATAAATAGTATTTTACCCATTCGTGCAGTAAATCTGCAAGTCCTTTTTTATAGTGATATTCATAATCTGTTTTATTTTTTTATTTTTTATTTTTTGGGGGCTATGAAACATCGCAAGTGATTATTGTGTTTTGACAGAACTGATGCTTTTCTGATAACTAATCATTCATATATGGAATCACTGAATATTATCATATAATTTTGTAATCTAAAAACTTATTTTTAAAAACTAATTATTTAAAAGTGGTCAAAGTTTTATCACAGTACATTGTGTGATATTACTATGGTCAAACTTGTCATGATGATTGCACTAAAGTACTGCAGTATTTCCATCATACAAGGCTACACTGTATTACAACTAAGTTAGACTAAAGACACTAGAGTCTTTGGTTAGACAGGTGTTCCCATTGTTGAATACTAGATAACACCCCTAATCGGCTGTTATTCTGTAACAAAGCTATTTTTTTTAAAACTCGTGCATTTTTATAATTTTTCAAAACATGGTATAATCTGTGGATATTTACTGTGTGTACGAGTCACATATAAGTCACATTGAAATTTGATTTTAAGTAACCAGGATGTTGTTTTGACCTTACATGACCTTTTAAGGATTCTATATTGTACCCCAGTAGTTTATTTACACAACCTGTATCCATGTACTGTATAGGACTTAATTATTAGCAGGTTTTATTGGGGGGGGGGGGGGGGTATTTCACCATATATGATTTCTAATTATGAAAATTTGTGAAACTTAACTCCCAGAACAAGCTAAAACATAACATTTATGTTGTTTTTGCTCAAAAATGTGACATACTTTCACACATTTCATTAAGATTACTTAGGTCTCTTAAACAGAACAAAAGACAAACAAAGCCTCCTAACTCAGTAATTAGTAAGAAGTACGGGATAAGATTTAAGCTGATTTAGGCTTATCTAGCATATTTGCATTTCGGCTAGACCCAATTGCGTCCACGCACAGGGAAGGCCAATCGTTAGCACGACTAAGGGGCGTCATCAGTTGGTGACCTTTGGCAAGCCGCTATTTACGAACGAAAAATGGATGACACGCGCGAGGTTCTATTTCTGCTGCTGGCATGTTTCGTTCTAATTTTGAACCGGCGTGCACAGCAACGCGAGAGAAGACGGTCCCAACTTATTTGGATGCACAGAAACAGTATACAACGGCGTAACAGAATACAGAGTTTTATTAATGCATGTTGTAGACAGCGAACCAAATTTATTTTATCTACGATTGGAGCTGCTGTACGCTCTACTATAGTGACCCGATTAGTGTGGAAGCGTGTACACTGAGCTCGGTTGCCATTTTGGGAATGAGAAAGTTGGATATATTTGATCACGTGCATAATGTTCACACCCAAAGGTCGCTGCAGAGGACGCTTAGCCCTGGGCTAAGCGTTCGCGCACACTTCGTTAGCCCGTGCTAAGGGTCTAGACCGCGTCTTAAATTCGGATCAGGTTTAACCTGTACTTAGCATTCCTTAGCCCGTGCTAAGCGTTCACGCACGTTTGCTTAGCACGGGCTAAGGAATTTGACCTCTTAGCCTGTGCTAAGGAGCTGTGTGTGAACGCAACTATTGTCTTTGTTGAACAAAGACCTAAACAAGGACTTTGTGTTTTTGGTTTTCTGTTCATTCATTGTCCAGCATCAGACATGCCGGGATCGATTTTAGTCCCAAAACAATTTCTTAGGCATGCCTGGTATTAACATTGAGTACTCATGCATGTGAATTTGTTTCATGATCTGATTCAAAATATCCAGCTAGTTTCTAGTTACGACCAAATAGGTACAGACACACCAATTTAGCCTTCTTGCATTGCTAAAGAGTTGTGCAATTCACATGTTTTTTCCTATATCTAAGCTTTCAGATGGTGTATAGGTTGTTATAGTAGCATGCTTACCTAATAACTTTTAGTAAATAACAGTATTCACACACAGCTCCTTAGCATGGGCTAAAAGGTCAAATACCTTAGCTTGTGCTAACAAAACGTGGTGTACAATTAGCATGAGCTAATCCATACTAAGTATGGATTCAATCTGGCCTGTTTTTAAGACCTGGTCCATATTCTAAGCACAGGCTAACAAAGTGTGCGTGAACGCTTATCACGGGCTAAGTTTCCAAAACACCATTGTATTCTATGTTTTTTTGGAAGATTTACTATTACATTCATAACTATTCATTTCCGTATGCCTTTTCCGACATGACAATCAACGCGAGCACATCAAGAGATATTGTTTTTGAGGAAAATGAACCGACAATGAGACTATTTCCTGTTATTCTGCCATCTCCACCTTCTGAATTTGCTTTGATATTGTTTTAGAACCATAGAAATAACATGTATACCTTCCTAGTTACTGTATTGAGTAGTCATAGTTAAAATGATTTTTGTATATTTTTAACAAGTTTTGACATTCTTTAGGTTGTGCATGAAGACAACTGGGTCTATCCAACATGAAAACATATGAGATTAGTTCAAATCTTAGCCCGTACTTTGTGTAGTGAGAACACTACAAATGTCTGTATCACAGATCAGTTTTTAACTTGTTTTTCTTCCTGTTGCGATTTTAAGGAAACTTTGTACAGAGATACTCTGGGATACTGTGCATACATGATTACATGAATAAGCTAGTTGTAGGCTGTTTCACAGTTATCATATTTCAATGAAACTTGGTGCATACACATTAATAGGTACTCTCAGATGATCCACAGACTTGGGTTACTTTAAGTCATTGTAGTCATTGTATTTTGCATAAAGTTTTTTTTTTATTTATTGATTGATTCAGGAATCTTCCTTTTTGTAATACAATAAAACATTATGTTCTTACATTGACTAGGGAAAAGAAAACACATACAGACTTTGTTTTCAATTCCTTTTTTGTTTTCTAGAGTTTTTTTTTGTATCATAAGCTATATTGCAAAATTTGTATTAATCATGGCAGTAACATGAAAGAATTGTATTGCATATTTTACCGTGAAATAATGAAAATACATCAATAAATGTCAGTTACATTATTCATTATTTGGAAAATGTTGGTTTCACTTTTCTATTTCACAGATTGTTACAGTACTGGTGTATTCCCATTTGGTGATAATCCGGCAGTACATCAGTTAACACCGACCAAACCTATCATTGATATCATAGATGACCCAAGGAATATATGCCATGGTGGTTACTTTGTGCAAGGAATAACCATTCAGTGGTTACCTCCTGCAGATGGTATGACTGACATTTAATAATTTCAGAAAAATCACATTAATTATAATGTAAATAATATCACAAACCAGTAATTTTACAAAAATGAATGTTTTGCATTTGAGAATAAATATTTCTGTGAAAGTTTTAAGTTCAGAAAATGCTTTGTATTTGATAAGACCGAGAAGAGCTTACAAGAAATCACTTATTAAAAGTGCATGTCGAAGTATGAGACTAAGTCAAGGCATCTAATTATTCCTTCCTGTGTTACCGTGAAAACTCCAAAATTTCGACCCCTCTAAAAATTCGCTCCACCTAATTATTTGCCGGGTTTCGGTATTTTATTTGCCTCCAAATTTTCGTCTCCACTAAAAATTGATGACTCATTCTTATTCGAAAATTGCGACCAGTTTTGGTTTTCCCCCAAACGAAAAAAAAAGACATGATGTGAGCGTTCAAACGGGACTTTCCCCGAAGGCATGAATCCGGGTTTCTGATTGACTGAGAGATTTTTATTTTATTGGTAACGAGGATATAATCTAAATAAACACATAAATCTTGGCATGCTGCGTTTCTGAATTGTTGATTATTACTCAGTAGTGATTATAATAATGTACACAAAAAAAATTTGTTGAATTGTTATGAAATACAAATAAAAGTCAACTTAGTTTTGTCGTAAGCGAATGATTCCGGTCTCGTATAAACGTTTGATGCTGTAGGCGTGATCACCGAACTCGGCCAGATTTCTACTCGGCCAGTGACCGATCACGGCCAGTGACAGTACTCGGCCAGCATATGTGTTAATGGGTTTGTCAAAGGGTGTCGATCTCAGTGATGCAACAGCCAGAGTCATATCACAATAAAATATAAAAAAAATGTACGAAAATGTTGACCAATGACCAGTTTACACCTCGACATTCACAACTGGCCGAGTTGTACATTTTTTCTTGGCCGAGTTGAAATCTGGCCGAGTTCGGTTGTATTCGCTGTAGGATATCCGCCATGTTCTCTTAGGTCAAATAGGTCAAATCGCTACTTAACCAATCAAAAAGCTGGATGATGCCAACGTGTTCAAATTACCATAGCTTATTTAAATATGTTAATGTTATTGAACGCAATGCGGAAGAGATTGATGTTGTAGTACGATCTTTTGGCTTGGATTT